CATCTTGTACCTCTTTAGTCATCACATTAGCATTGTCATTAATCTTTTCTTCCTTCTTCCATGCTATGTAATTCTTTTCATGTGGTTAGTCTTGCCACAATTTCAGCATTCCACATTCTTTCTAGACGCCGACTTACTTTTCTACTACTCCATTTTCCATCGTTGTCTTTATTAAAATTTTTCTCGAAACCTTATCTCTTTTCTCAATATTTATGGTACAATTTGATATTGAGAATTCTCTAAAATCTCTTTTACACTTTCTCGGTAAGAATATTATCACGAGTATTATTGAATTTCAATTTTGCATTGCCTATAGAGCTATTGATTATAGTTCTTATCATCTCCTAACTATTCGGTAGCAATGCTAACGAGATTATGGTACATATCTTATCATAAAAATTAATCTCAACTGATACCAATTGATTTATAGTAGTGTATAATTTATCAAGATGTTTCATTGTTCAAGCACCTTCGACAATCTACAAATTAACTATCGTTTTCATTAGATGTACTTTGCATTCAATAGCTGGTCATAGACATATGACAATACCTTAATCAAATCTGTCGTAGTTTTTTCCATTGTTACGTTGTCACCAATGTCTTTCGACAGTGTTAACAGGATAACACTCAACATTTGACAATCAAGGAATTTTCACTTAACGTCATTAATTCCTTCTCACATCACATTCCGAACGGGTTGGTGCAATTTTTATAAATTCCTAGTTATGTTCTTTCTTCACTAGCCATTGCTCCCAAACGAAACTAAAAGCTTTTATACCAATTGTTGAGAATTAGAAATCCTGTTCCTATTCCACCGATAGCAATCAATTAGCCAAAAAAAATGACACACAAGATTTATAGATGGTTGCTTCTAGGGCTGGACACAACTCCTGAACCGAACCGGACCCACTCGACGTGAATCGAACCGAGCAGTTCTTCTTAAACTAAATATCCAAACATATATCTGAATCGAGAATCGATGTGGTTCAGTTCTCGATTCTATCGATTCTAGATTAAGAATCAAAGAACCGAATAAGAACAAAATCTCTCTAATTTTTTAAATTTATTTGTCTTAAATAAGTCAATTTTTTTCCGAACTTAATCAAATCGCATAATTTTTACCCATATCTATTATTCTATTAACCATTTCTACAGTTCCGGAGAAATCAAAATGAAACTTGATTGCGCGGCTCTCTTCATTATTGTGAGCTCATTATCTTTCTCTTCCTGTGATATTAATAATCAAATCTATGAAGAACTCAATAAAGAGAGATATAAAAGATACATAAGATTGGACAACGTTATTTTTAAAAGCTAAGATTAAACATGTCTTTAGTTGAATTAGTTTTATAGATATTAAAAAATTTAATTATAGTATGAAACTTAGGAATCGAATCCGAACGATTTCATATTTAAATTCGGACTCGACAGTTCCATTTACTAAATACACAAAAATTCAGGTTCGGAACTGGATCATGACTAGCCTTTGTCTCTTCCATGTGAAACTACATCATTTTCTGTTATTATAGTAATTCGCTATGAGAAAAAGAAGTTTACAAGAGAAAATTGCATACCTATCTTTTATGATGGTAATTTAATTAGTGCAAAATTGAA